CAGAACTCATGACCATTGAGGAGTGTTGGAACAAAGACCCACTGGTAAGTTTTGAAGCCTTCACGACGGTCAAGTACAGCGCCTGCATTACTGCGGATGCCGCCACAATCCATCTTTCCATCTCAGGCTCCATTTTCCCATCATCTGTGAACAAGATTCTGACATACTTAAACTCCCCCACTTGAGACAGCAACTCATCCCCAGTGCAGATGGTTGTTTTCGCTGTTTTCAATCCATTAATTTCCAATGTGTCTGAAGCTTTGCCACCTTATCGGGGTTTGTGTGTCTTTGTGATCCTGGGGTTGTTCTCCCAAAGCAAATTGGTCCTAGAGCTGCAGCCAGACAAAGAGAAATTCAAAGATCCACTATGAATTGATACAGATGGAGTTTCGATGCCTTGCCTGACTCAGAGAGACCATGACCTCTTCCTGGGGCCAGACCCAGAAGGAGATCTTGCCAGTGAGCATGTGGTGGCCTTCATCCACGGGGCTTGGCCGGGCACAGCCCAAAAGAAGAACATGGAGTGAACCACATAGTGGGTCCACCACCCGCTGGGATAGGTGTAGGGTTATGATGGGACACAAAGTGGGCGACAGGCATGAGCAGGCACCAAGGCGGGCCGACCCCTGGCATGGTGGCACTATGGACACAGATGGTCACCTCATTTTAAAATTGCCGGTTGCTAATCTACACATTCAGCAGACCGCACATCTGAATACACTAGCATTCTGTTTGTACACCTAAAAGCACACTGGAGAAGAAATGAAGGACACGTCTTCTGTTATATCAATAGCAAGCATCATGGTAATTAGATCTTATATATAATAATAAGATACAAAATAATACAGGATTCCAAAAAAGTGCAAGCTAATACAATCACATGAGCAAGCTCTGGCTTCTTGATTTGATTGACTTTTATTTCCTCTTTCATTTGATGCTTTGGACACTAAGTGATAATATTGACTAATACCAGACACAGGGTCAATTTTACCATAAACATGTTAGCTTTGATACCAGGGACCAGCATGCCTAGGTGCCAGAGACTGTCCACTGTCCAGCTTACAGTGCACACGACCCCAACACCCTGCAGGTGGTGGGTCCACTGGGCAGCGACTCCATGTCGTTTTTTCAGCCTGTGCTCAGCCAAGTCCCATGGATCCAGGATTGGCCACCAGATGCTTCCCGGTGAACTGGCCTCCTGGGCCTGACTCCAGACGGGGGCCCCAGTTTCCCTGCTCCGGGTGAGGTGCTACAGCTTCTTTTCCGCCGATTCACTGGAATCTTTGAATCACTCGTAGTCTGGCCAATCCCCCCAGGACCAATTTGCCTTAAGAGACCCTACCCGGGGCTATTGACCCTGATGAGACGGCTCTCAGGATCACAGGGACACACAAAGGTGGTGATTCTACCATCTTCCTTAGCGGCTCTCTTCCGCTTCACTGGTGTACAATAGGTATTCTCTGAAAACCATTCTCATTGCTGGAAAACATAATTGTGAGAATTATCTGTGACTTTTTTTTTTAACGTGGAAGTTTAATTGTAACATTAAAATGGAAGACGACGACAGGAACTTCTAATAACTCCTACGGGCTTTGACCATTTAAAACCCTGTACATATACAAGCTGTGAACTCCAAAAATGTCCACATGAATATGTGTCATGGGTCATCAAAGCTGACTCTTTCCCACTTTAAGACTGAGGGTTTATCACTATGAGTGACCTATTTCTCCTTACATATCGATTAGTGGAGCTTTAAAAAATGAATTAATCCATGAGACCTATTAATCATACAGAGGAGCCGCAGTCAAGGACATCATCAATTGACATCTCAATCTATTGTTGGGTACTTGAATGCCCACTGGACACCTTACATTAAAAGGGAGAATTAGAGTTGTGGCTCATTTGTTTGCTCCTAATGTTGCAATGCATTTTTAAACATGTTTTTATTTAATAGCCCCGGAGATTTCCCTCTGGGCAGCTTTCATACATGAGCCTATATGCTTCCGTTTGCTGATTCTGCGACCACCCCACACTGTGCTAACTATATGTACTGTACATGTAAGGTTAACTAGCAATCTGCAAAATGGACAAATTCCTGATCGCTTGGCAGTAGGTAATAAAAACCGAATTATTCGCATAGAGCCTATGCTGGGCCATGACTAATGTGTTCAGCGTGTGAAGTGTGTATGGAAAGGGGTAATCTGCAGAGTCTAGCTCCCAATAACTTGACCCAGGGGGCAATAAATCCCATAAAATCCATATTGTATTGCCTAATGAGACCAGCAGTGCTCTTTCATGTATTTCAAGGCATTATTAATACAGCAGGTGATCGCTTAATCTTCTTTAATTTCAAATTTCGACAATGGTGTTTAAAATCAATACTGTGGAAGCGCATTTATCGAGGGCCTAAATGACTAAAAGAATGAGCGAGCCCAAAGATCATTTACATTTGTTGTTCAGGCTCAAATGCGAGGAAGGGAACTTGTTTTTTAAGATATGAAACTCAACACGGCCACAGAAGAAAATCCAAAGCCTCTTTTGGCTTTAAGTCTCTGGCTTTCATTGACGGAGCTAATAACAGGGAATAAAATCTAATCATTCACTTTACTGCCCCGACACAAAGAGATTAAGAGGGGACAAAGAGTATGCGATAATCTAGACTAGAGAATGGATTAAATCGCATTTTCTTCTCAACCCTGTCTGTAACCCAAAGGCTGAAGAAGTCTAGGGATACTTAGTGAGTGAAGGGCTTCACATGACGCCTAAAGGCCTCAGACGATCAGATGCACTTCATTTAAAGCGGACGACTCAAAAATTTCAGTTTGAAAATTGTACTTTTTCAAAACCAGTGATTGGACACTATTTGCAGCGACTAACCAGATGAGCAGAGGGAGAACAAGATGGCAGGTCTGGATCATGGATATAATATAGGAGCTGGACACATTCAAAACTAATCATTGGACATATAAGCCCCAACATTTTCTATTGTTCAGTCCAGTGCACATGCTCAGTAGCGTCTCTCCAACTGGCTCCGCCCATTTGATTTTACAACACATACACAAAAACGGCTTTTCTAGCATTACAAATAAAAACTTTTGTCATTTAAATAGTCATTGAACAGCACCGTAAGATTATTAATGTTTGCAGTTGTAGGTGTCCTATTAGCAGGTTTACAGACATCTATTTCACAGCTTTTTGGGCCACTATAGACCGAATATTAGGAAAACCGCCAGCTGGAAAACCAGAACAACGAGCTGACAGATGCTAAAAAGCCCCACGGAGTTGATGGGAACCTGCAGAGTTGGGGGATAATTCTCTGTGGGTTTGTCATTTTAAGCAACTATGTTCACATTGCAAAGACATTTGATCCACTTTTAATGTAAAAAAATATGATTAGTGCCACTTTAAAGAGACTAGACGTGATCAGAAGGCGATAAATCATTATTGTTGAGGTCTGACCGCACACCGTTTATTTTTTTTTTTGCTGTTTCTTTTAAAAAAACAAAGACGAGAAAGTTCTGGAGAATCACTGCGAGTTAGTGCCGCCTGTGATGTCGGGGTGCATTTCTACCTCTTTAATGAGATTCCCTTGCCAGCACTTGCGTCTGGTGTGGCTTTTTCAGGAAGGATGGCATGCTGTATAATTAATGTGCTGGTGTTGAATTCACAGCAGGGAAATAGTGCTGATACGCTCACCTTTAAGGACAAACAGTTGCCAGAGGAGACATAAACTGGAGCAGTGTGAGACTGTGGAAAAATGGCGTGTTTACACCAGCTCAGGACACGAGTCTGTCATCGGTGTCAAGTCTGAGGAGATGGAACTCATTGATGGCGCTGTTGATGAGCTCAGTGGAGGGGTTGGTCAGGGACATTGAAATTACCACCAGATAACTTCTGTTGGCTGTCTGTCAAATCAAATATCTGCTCCTAGTCTCTTCTGTCAAAAGAATTTTGAATGCGGTAGCTGAGGTTTGAGGCATACAGTAAGTGGGGCAGGTGGTGAAACGAGATGGAACACTTACCAAAGGTCTTGAAAGCAGTGGGCAAGGGATTGACGGAAATATGAGGTTATAAGGGCCAAAATGATTTCAGAGTGTTGATACAAACAATGCCTCAGAGATGGAGGTATGAATCAGTCAGACCACCACTTTAGTTCAGACAAAAATAAATAAATCAATATTCATTGTCCCCAGAGGATAAAACCTGCTGATCCGATGACCTCTAGCACCACCATAAGGTGGACAGTTTGAGTTAATAGTGAAATATATCAAAAAATATTGGATGGATCACCCATAAACAACAATTTCCCTGAGGTTCTACCAAAGGGATCAATAAAGTTCTATCTATCTATCTATCTATCTATCTATCTATCTATCTATAATCTGGTATACAGCAGATGGACGTGTTTGTAACAGGATGAACCCTAATGACTAGCAACGATTCTCTGACTGTAAAATATTACTATACATCAATAAAACTGCTGAGAATTGTTAGATGAACAGATTGAACATTTTGCCCAGATTTTCAAGGTCAAGTAAAATTTGTCCTATATATTGGTTTTTGATGACCAGCTACATACAAACCCGATGTCACCCCACGTGCTAAGGCCAGCATGCTACATAACACAGTGACCTATGATGATAATCATTATACCTGCTGAGCACTGTCAGTGATATCTGCATCTAGCTCAAAGCACCACACTGCCCAAGCACACACCTTGTTATTCTCGTAGATTAATCGTCGCAACTGCTTGAGTTCCTTGAAGATGTTCCATCTCTGATCCAAGAGGCTTCATGACTGACTAGTTGGGAATTCCAGATACTGACATCCTTAAGGAGCCATTAACACCTGAGTCACCACCAACTAGTCAGTCAGAAGTGATGTAGCCTCTTGGATGAGAGGTGGAACGTCTTCAAGGAACTCAAGCAGTTGCTACGATTAAACAACGAGAACAACCATGACCTGGATGACTGAGGATCTTCACAGACATGTTACACACCTTGTTGCTAGAAACCCTTTTTTTTTAATTAAAAACAAAACAAAAATAAAAACTGACCAAATGCTGTCCAAACAAATTCAGTTTTACAAGAACTTCATAAGTCACATTTTCTGAGGATGCATTTCAGATGGCACCAAACATCAAATTTAAGTTAGATACTCGCTGCCATGTGGATGTTTTTTTTCACATCATCAGGTCTAATAGCCAACAAGCAAAATTTGCTGTACATCAGCCACAGTGATAATGCAGTCAGTTCAATAGCCTGTTTGTTTTGGATGTGACAGCTACATGCAGCCTTTATCACTTTACACAGATTGGTACTCACAGAGGAAATCTGAACAGAAAATAAAATTTCAAGCAACAAAAAAGTCATTATTAATTTGAATAAAATCACCAAAGAAAAGTGTTTACATCCCATTTCACTCAGCTGAGACATCTGGATTTATCCGAATCCAGTCGTCGGAAACAAGAAAATACACATTTCAACTTTGATCCATGAGTGCTCTTGTCACAAAACACAGCACCAGTTCAAAAACATTTTTACCTACACCTTGCTGAAACTAATGCAGTCCTACATAAGAGCCCTGCCAATGACACCTTGGTGGAGGTTCGATCTTTAAAAGTTGTTTTACTGAGACTGTAGTTTGCGGTGCTGTTGATTGTGATACTGAGAGCTGAGCAGTACAAAGTACATCAGCTGGTAACTGAGTGTATTGCCTATATCCTACTTCTAAAATTGTGTAACGTGAAGATGACACATAGCAAAAACAGTGGAATCGAATGAGGGTTGCAAAGCAAAAATTAAATGCCTGGTGCTCTGTGAACAAGCTGCAAGTTATTAATAATTTTGGCTTTATAACAGTAATTATTCTAATTCTGCAAAATTGTTGTGTCAATGATTTATTCAGGGTGGTCTGCACTAACCAGAAGATCTAGAAGACTGAGGATTAAGCTGCGTATAGATAATGGATGGATGATTTACTCAAATTAGGACCAAGCTGAAGGTCGAGTGGACAACTGAATTTGTCTGACGTTGCATAGGAAAATGTAAAAACTCTGAAAGTAACCAGTTTCCCTTTCCACATTGCTAGATTTAGAAACTGGAAAGAGGTCAGATAGTTAATTGGACACCGGTGGTGTGCCAGGAGAAATACGAGGATCATCACGGCCGTAGCCGCAAGCGGAGAACCCTCAAGTCATGACCCCACTGTTTTGGGAGATTTGCAGATTTTGGAATGAATTTAGCTCAAAATTAGATATTAATTAGGAGTTATTCCATCTTTCAAAAAAAATACAATAAAAAGTAGAACTTCACTTTTTCTGAAATTCCAGCTACGGCCCTGAAAAGCAAAACCAACCAGTATGACAATATCATGTCTTAATTTGTGACTTAAAAATTAAAATAATGAAGCGATACATGACGGAGCTCTTTCAGTAGCATTTTAGTCAGATTAGATTTTTTTCCACCACCAGTGGCTGGATGATGAAAATACACAACTGTGATGTAACATGACTGGGTTGAATGTGGTCCAAAGAACGCTGAACAGCTGTCTGACTGAAAACAGTTCTATTGTGAAAGCTCGAAAATATTGTTTTTGGTGTTCGGGATTACAGAAACTATCTCAGTTATGTACTTCTGTTGCTGGAAAGACATGACTGCCCCCAAGTGGCAGGAGCACCATTTATAAACATTGTAAACCCTGAGAAAGAATGTAAGGTCTGAAACTAAAGGTCACAGCAAAACGTCTGCTTCAGCAGTTATTCAAATGCTTCTCCTCCCGTGGTAATAGTCCAGTTTTAAATTTCAGGCAGCTGGTAGAAGTTTGTCCAGAATACTTCTCTTGGTTCCTTCACTCACGTTGTCAACAGGAAAGTGAACCCCTCAGTGAGTCACTCATATGTTCTATAAACCCAGTTTATTTCCATGTGGTTTACCCAAACATGGCACTATCTGGTGTGTGGCTTGCAGGTGAGTTTCCTCTCCCACTCCGCTTCCACCACTTTGTAAAGCTCCATGGAGGCTCGAGCATCCTCCACAGAAGAGTGGCCCTTTTTCCCGGTCTGAGGACACAAGAAAGGAGGATTTCAGCATCATGTTGGTAGCATTTAGGAAACTGCTCCACAAAGTAACTGCGTTTCATTGACATTGTTTGCACACATCTTTCATTCTCGATGTAAACTGAGAGGTAACTTCTCCTACCTGGATGTCACGGTTAAAGATGGCCTTCATGAGTCTCTTCAGCGAAGCACACTGATTCTCAGGAAAGCCGGCCCTCTGGTTGAGCAGAGGGATTCGGGATGTATCCCTGGTCAAGGCGCTGGGGTGAGAGTATGTGAGGGCCTTGAAGTCATTGTGGATGGCATGGCCGATCACCACCTTCCCATTGAGCAGCTTCAGGATCTACAGGACCAACAGATGGAACACGTAACTCGAACTCATTAGATTTACACAGTATGAGCTGCAAACATAGTGTGAATACACTGAAGATTTTAACCAATGTTTTTAGACTTAAACAGCAGTTGGAGAGATGTACTTCTTTTTTTTTTATCAATTTGCTTTATTTACCAGGAAAAAATCAAGATAGTTTTATGTTTTGGTAAAGTTAAGTTAGCAAAGGCATGAATTTGTGTCTTTATTTTTTTAAACTCCAAAAACCAACTTGTAAATGAAAAATTCAAACACAAAAAAACAGAAACAAGATCAACAATTTTACATCAACCAAAACCAAAAGCTGTTTTTCTCGGCTGCTGAACTGCAGCTGCCTTCAATGAGGAATATTTTGACAATGGAAATACTGAACGACTAATATGAATTTCAAATCCTAGTAAAACTGGAGCAGCCCATCTCTGTGGACTTTCTTACTTAATGCGGCAACAATCTGAATAAAACATAAATCGGTTTGACCCCACGAAACAAATGAAGAAAAGTTAAACAGAGAAACAACAAGAAGCCCCACACTGTGGAAACTCACGTTGATGAAAAATGCTTCCTTCAGCTCAGGGTTGCAAAGCTATTCATACGTGTTGGTGAGATAATGGAAATATACGAACACTAGCTCCACCTTTTGTTTGACTTTTGCTCTGTTATCTGACAACTTTCAAAGTTTTGCGCTAAGGATTACTAATGTTTTTCTGAAGTAGTGGTTGTACCGGCTGCTCCAGAGGGAGTAATAAATGGCAGTGACTGTTGTAGTGTTTGCTGTAGTCGTCCCTGTAGAAGATCAAATCAAATCCAGTTTATTGTCATTTTGCTGTACATACACAATAGTACAGGCAAGATGAGAGAGAGCGTTTCTTCAGGATCATTTAATTCGTAAGTTTTGCGGAATGAACATCTGGGATAGAGTCTAAACGTTCACTCCCGCTGTCTCCTGAAGGGGGCGCTGTGTCCATGCATGCCGCCATCAAAATCACGATCTGAACTGACTTGTCAAACAAAAATGTTAGATGTCCAGTAATTCCAGTTTTGCAACTCTGAAGAATTGCACTACCTTCTAACATTTTATAGAGCACATGATAAATCCTTTAACACCACAGAAAGCTAGAATTGAAATTAAAAAACACCTTCTGAAGAGCCCACATATTGTCCTTGGAACTTTTGCCCCAAGCAGGTGAAGAACAGTGAGAAAAAAGTAAATAATAATAGTCCATCCATCCATTATCTATACACCGCTTAACCCTCACTAGGGTCATGGGGGGCTGGAGTCTATCCCAGCTGACTCAAAGTGAAGGCAGGTTCACCTGGACAGGTAACCGGTCTATCACAGGGCTACACTTAGAGACAGACTAAATAATAAAGTAAATCTCCTATTTTGTAACTGCAGTAAGAAAGCACGAAGACTAAAACAAGAATAAAAGAACAACCTTTTGCAATTGACTGTAAAATGCAGGACATTCGTACCTCCTTCCTGGCATCTGAGTACGGCGTGGCGTTGAAGAGGTCACTGCGTCGGATGCCGCTCCATCGGGTACGGTAGTCAGTGATAGGCATGGAGGGCTTGATGAACTTATCGTAGACCACATCTCCGTCATAGGACACGATACTGCAGCGTGCAAGCTGGCTGATGCTCCCTTTTGGTCCTGCACCCACCATCTCACAGTCAATAGCGAGGTACTTGGAGGGGATTCCTGCTGGTGTGGCGATGGGCTTATGGCTGCTTGATACGGAGGGACCGGGGCCTGCGGGTGTGGATTTTGTGTTCACAGGTTCCTTTGGCTTTTGATGGCAGTCTTGGTTGAACACAGTGACAGTCAAGGAAGGCATGCAGTGTGTGGATGCAGAAGGCCTGGAGCTACAGTGTGAGGCACTGGCTGTGCTGGCTTGATAAGGTAAACCTTTGCTTTGTGTGGAAGCGGTAGGTGGTGGACATTTCCTGAATGCTCCATTTTGGTGTGGCGTTTGCTCAGGTCGAGAGCCCCCCTCATAGTGGTTGCATTTGTGTTGATCTGCTACGTAACCATTTACTTTTACATACTGCATCTTTTTTTGAAACCACGGGGTTTTCTTCTTTCGTTTTGATGCTGAACTTCCCTGTGCAGGACACATTTTGGGCCTACTGTCTGACATTTTTACGCCAAAGTAATGATTTCTAAACCCAGTTTCACACACACAGCTGTAAAGATCTGCTTATTTCGACTGCTTCAACAGGTCTTTGTCCTCTGTAGTCCAGTTTGTGTCAGCCAAATCCACTTCACAAGTGACATTCTGCAAAGCAAACACAAAAAAACAATAATTTATTGACAGTAACTTAGCAACATGGGAACTCGGGGGCTGTTCCATGAAGCACCCTCAGAAAATGAACATTGATGTCCAACGCCTGACTAGAATACACTGAACAAATCAGTCGAGGCTAAAGTGGTTCTATAAAGATCAAATCACACAATTTGGCTAATTCAATAAATGAAACCAGAGACAAAAGACTAGCAAGAAATTGCTGATCAACTGAATGCTAGAAGTAAATTTTATCAAATATATATTCTTTTTTAAACAAGAGGAAGCAGGGAATAGGGAGGCCAGAGGGAGCCTGGCTCATCCTAAGACATCAGCTCCCCGGGAAATATGATTTGTACATTTTTGGGAACACTAAATATTTGGCAGTATTTTTGCCACAGTAATATATCCTGCATAAAATTAGGCTATTATTGACGTATGATTTATGTAGAATGGTGACTAATCACCAACTCCTTTTAATCAAGTCAACCTGGCCAGCACCTCGGTCAACTCAGGCTATAAAAATAAACCTGATTTGAAAGACACCAGCCTGCATGCTGTTCTTGCCATCATCACTGAAGCACGGCACAGTATCAGAAAATAAAATATTTAGTTATTAAACCTATTTTCTACATGCTTTTCAACTGATTTCCAAGTTTTCTTGTTTTGACCTTGTTTTCAGTGTACTGACCAACACTATCAGTGAAAATAGAGGCCAGGGGCATATCAACTTGATCAGCATAGTCAATTTTTTATTTTACTGTCAACTATTTATGTAGCTCTTATCACTCTTTTACAATGACTTATAATTTATGTAGCAGACGTCCAAACATTTGACACCACATACCATGTAATTTATAAAATATAGAAGTCTACATCTTATCATTTAGCTCTGTGTAATTTATTTAAATTATTGGATATATAAGAAGATTTTCTGTAAACTTCCATTTTTGGACTGATACTGAGAAATAGAGGCAAAAGGGTAAATATTAAAATATTTACTTTCTCTTTTGGGTCGTCAGACTAACTGAAATAAGCCTGGCTTATTTTAAAATATTCTCGCTTTATGAAACAGACTCCAGGGGAATCCCATAATCTCAATTTGATTTAAAATAATTTGAACCGAAAGTGACTCTATCTTCAGTTTAACCGCACAAATGATTTACAAGCAACTGACACGAGGCTATGTACAGAGAAGGGAAATGCAAAGTTGTTGCTCTAATTAGTTAACAAATCTTAAAAACACGTATCTATAAACATACCCATTGCGTGTTGCTAGATGCTACTTTCGGTTTTGACATAAATATGCAGCTAATGCTTGTTGACGTTAACACTTGCTAACGTTAGCTCGCTCATGCTAATGCTAATCTGGTGGTTATCATTTGGTGGACATGACCGTCCCTCAGTGGAAAATTTAGCTGAGCCTGTGAACATTCACAGGTTGATACCGAGAGGTCCCACCGTTTTGGAAATCTTTTGAAATCAACTTCGTGAAATATAAAAACAGACCTGCTGCACATTGGTACCACACGAGTCTTCCTGTTCACAACAAAACAAGAACATCCGGGGCATGTTGCCTTTAAGTACAACTTGACAGATCGGGAGCTTGAGTGGGACAAATGCGTAAACGAATAGTTATCTGGTTTATCAGGTCTATCTTATAAAACATCAATAGAATTTTAATAGGTTTTATATTTAGTGTAGATGCTGACAAATCTGAGCAGCCTTATTAAACGCAAAGTCTATGCACAATTTCTGTAATAACTTTATTTTTATACATTTATATGAACTGCTAGATTTCTTGCGCCGCGTTCAAATGCACTGGCGGCGTAACTGATTATTAAATCAATAGCAAATATCAATAAAACGCCGAAGACAATTTTGCCCCATAACGTCTAAATTTAAAATTTTAACTTCGCCTAACTGCCCACCAATTAACCCAGAAATTACGAGTAACTCCTGAACGCATCGTCATTCTACACGAGAAAGTTACAGTTAGCTACGGAAGCTAGCTAATGGCTAAAAACAACCAGCATTTAAATGAATTTTAATTTAAAAAACATAGCAGGAGTTTTGTAAATATAAAAATAAATGCAGATTTTAGGAGCGAGCTGGTCGTTATGTCGGTGTTTTAGACACGCTTCGTCTTAGCAGGAAAAAAAGAAACGCAGCGTTTAACAAGCTAACGCATGCTAGCATTAGCTCCCCTTCAAGTCCCATGAGCTGTCAGCAGCACAAGATGTGGAGATGTTTACAGCAAGTTTCTCAGCAGAGCAACAGAGAGAGCTGGCGAAAAGACTCACCACGTTTCTGTCTCAGTACAGGCATCTATCCGACTCCTACATAATTGTGCGTATGGAGCTTTCTTCTGTTGCTACAGTTTGCAGGTGGTCCTGTCAGGGGGGAGTGAACTGTTGTTATGTTTTGCAGTAAAGACTGAGAAAGATAATGTCCACCAGCTGTGTCTTTGTCATACATGTGCATCCAAGTTCAGTCCAGCTGATTTCACTGCCCTCTAATTTTGAACACCAATAAATCATTGAAATCTGAATATAAAATATTCTTGTGTGTATTGAGAAACATATGAAATAAAATGAATGCTTACAGCATTCATACAGGTAGCTAGATTAATATCCCATCATTTTAAAGTTTTCCATTAAATGTCTGTGTGTTCTTCTCGCTGCAGGAGTTCTTCACTGAAGATCTCTGGCACACTTTACCCAGCAGCTGGCAGGCTGTGTTGCAGGACTTGTCCTATCCACAGATTGCAGACCTATTTTTAGATGCCACCCATGAAGACAGGAGGTACTGCCGGACTATACTAAGGCACTTCATAGATTCTTAAAGTAAGGTTGCTAACAAAATAAGGATAAGAAACATGAGCATGAAGAAATGGAAGCACAAAATAGCAAAAAGCTGTTACATAAAATTGAAGATTTACAGGAATAGTTCTGCCTTTGCATCGGCTTTCTCTTCACCGCTGTATCAGGAAACAGTAGTGTGGTGTTTTTAAAAAAATCTAGATATGACACCTGCTACTCTGGAAAAATCTTTAAAAACTAGTTGTTATTGTTTAGCTGGTCATGCTATACATAATTTTTGCAACTTTTCTGATTCCAGGTCTTTGCAATTAATTGACTATATCAGGAATTATTATTATATATGCAAAAGAAGCACTAATACAATATGACATGCAATAAAAACACAGTAAATTGATCCTAGTAAATACATGTAATCCTATATTTTAACCTGTATGATAGTGTTAAAGATATCAAATTACATTCTCTGTAGTCTGTGGTGTTTGTCTTCATTTGTCTTTATTTGGTCTCTATCAGTATCTAAATTACTAATGACTGATGTAGAGATACTAAATTCATCGGGATGCAATTTTTAAGAGTCCATTTATGTTTTGGAATTATAATCAGTTTATATTTTGGGCCCTTTCTGAAATGTCATGACAATTAAAAATGCAGAATAATGCCACACCAATGAGGTAAATATTAAATCTAATGACTTCATCGTTACAGATATCCTTCGGTGTGGCCGCTGTCCCTCTTGGCTTTCCGTGCCACAGCTCATGCCCTGGCGTTCCCCAGAGAGTCCATTCATGAGCAAGGCAGGGTTGCCGGTTTGGTGAAGCCTGAGGAGTTCCAGGAAAACCAGAGTCAGAGCTCACTACTGGGGCACATATTCAGGAAACACGTTAAACCCAAGAAGCAGCACGAGATTCGCAAGCTAGGCATGGTACAGGGTTTTTTGTCTCACATGGTTTCTGCTTTTTAAATGAAATGTTAGAACATGTAGTTTTTTTCTTTTTGGTTGACTTTGAATCTGTTTTTTTGTTTTTATTCCCAGCTGGTGAAACAGCTTTGTGACCAGACTGAGTGCAGCAGAGTGGTTGACGTTGGCTCCGGACAGGTATCGTTCACAGGCTGCTGGGAATTATCGTGTTTAACGTGTCAGCACATAACAACAGTGCATCAGCTTCACTAAGACAAACACTTTAATGATTCTCAGGAATGAGATTACCTATCATGGCGCTGGAACAGTAGATAATGACACATTGAACACTGATTGCTTTAAACAGGGCCATCTGACTCGTTTCCTGTCCTTTGGGCTCGGACTGTCCGTCACTGCCATTGAGGCTGATCACACCCTTGTTACTATGGCGTCCAGGTTTGACGGACAGTTAATCTGGGCGTTGGAGAAGGAAAATCAGAAGAAGGTTGGTGATTTGCTAAACTTGTTGTATTCATCTAGGTTATTAAAACCCCAACACTGAAGCTTTTTGCAATATGATCTCTCAGTCTTGCTTATTTAACAACATTTACAGTTTTCACTCCCATAGTTATGCTTTTATAAAGGATCAGATTGATGCCTGTTCTCAAGATGTTATCGGTAGACCTTTTCAGGAAGTGTCAAAAAAAAAAAACTGAATGTAAACACAACACTGACACATTTATCACCCGTAAAAGATGATTTGATGAACTTTTTAGTAAATTGGCTTTCTTACACATCTAGCAGAAGCAACATAATGCTATCTTGTGTCTTTGTCCACCTGATGAAAGAAAGCGCAATATGTTTCTCTCCTTATAAGTCTAGTTTTCAGTCTACCAACCTCAGAGTAAAATATCTTACCCTCCTATTCTCTTCACCTGCCTGCCTCTAACTCTCTGCTATTCTGTTTTTTAGAGGTTTCTCAAGTTCTGACACCAAAATCTGAAAGCAACGACCTGAAATCTATTAAAAACACTCCTTTTACTGCTACACTTCATAGATTTTTGATATAAAAGTGTAGAATGTAGCATCTTCAAAGCTGCCTTTTTTATTCGAGTTTCACGTTCTGCCATATGTGGCATCAACATAAATATTAATATTCATCTTTCTTCTTCTTAGAACTGCACCTCTCAGCTCCCAATTTCTCAGTCCTCTCCCCGCCACGTGGCTGGCTGGGTGAACCCCAAGGCACCATGGGAGGCTTTCATAAAGCAACTAAGTGCTACAGGATGTGTCAGCGAAGGTTCCTCAACCCCATCTGGACCCAGCAAAAAGAGACTGCGGGGCTCTAAGCGTCAGGGGCGCTCTCGTGACCTCCAGGCTTCACCATCTCATGGCTCCACGCGTTCTGATGCTCATTCACAAGACTCAAGTAAGAATGAGTCTGAAGACGAGTTATCTAATGAAAACTGCTGCTCATGCATCCAGCCTGTTCATCAGCAGGATGTCAACCCTGAGGAAAGCAGCCTACAAGGTTACCCAGACTTCATCCTGACTGGTCTCCACGCCTGCGGAGACCTCAGCACCACCCTCCTCCGCCACTTTGTCAACTGCCCACATGTTCGCGGCATCACTTCTGTTGCGTGTTGCTACATGAAAATCACAACCAAAGAAAACCCCGCCCCTCCAGGACTGGTCGTATCTTCCGCTCCAGTGACACCGGGCCACGAGTCTGTTCCCTCAGAGTTTGGCTACCCGATGAGCTCGTGGGTGCGTGGGTTGCCGGGACATCAGCTGTCCTATAAGGCGCGAGAGGCGGCGTGTCATGCCGTGGAGGATTACATACGGAGGCTCAGAGAGGAAAGCGAGTTACTGAGGACACACTGTTACCGGGCAACGCTGGAGACCTTCATCAGGGATACGAGGCCAGAGCTACGCAGGGCAGGAATCCAGACCATTAAGAAAGCCCACTTATTACCTTTTACAGAGTGAGTAAAGACTGCAGCCTCCAGGCATTTACACAAAGTTGCACCATAAGGCACAGCGCTGGCACGAGGAGCAAATTCCCAAAAATGGGCAAAAAGGCAACAATAAACATCATGGCAGAGACCGGGGGAGAGTCAGTGAGGTTTGCAATGTGTTGCATTAGTTTGTGTAAATGATCCTCTAGAGGAATAGTGTTTATGTCTTGCTTGTGCTTGCTGCGCTACTCACAGAGTTGCGACACAAATGCACGACATCTGGCCTCTAGCATGAGTTTGGACTGTATTTATTGTTTCTTAACTAGAACAAAACCAAGCACGAGTAAGTAGAATTTTCAGTGATTCATCCCACCTATAAATGGGTGTTTGTTTAAACCTTGTGCAGGTTAGTTAGTAGGGAGAGCAGAATATGCCACCTGCAAAGTAAAGAGAATGCAAATAAATACAGAAAATAATATGCAAGGGTCCCTCAAAAAGTCTCTACTACTCTGATAGCAATATTTCCAATTATGGGTTGCTGCCTGTGAATTTATCTGCTTGGCACATTGACTTTTTTGATCTCTTGGGGCCTGCCAATGTCAAAAACTTTCAAGTTCTATTGATTTTGGGGTCTCTTTTTTTTTTACACTGGTAACATTTTTAGGAAAATCAACATCCTGCTCTGTTTTCACATCCCAGATACGCCCGTCTGGGTCTGGCTCGGGTCGGCCTGCCTCCCGACTTGCCCCTGGACCCTGAGCAGGTGGAGGCCATGCTGAAGCAGCAGGGCAGGGTGGTGGTGTACTTCAGCCTGGCCCTGCTGCTGGCTCCTGTGGTGGAGACGCTGGTGCTGCTGGACAGGATGATCTACCTGCAGGAGAAGGGTGAGCCAATGAACTCACATTTATTAACCTGATGCTGCATTTTTGTGCTACTGCATTCCCTCCAACTAAAGTCTGGACTCTCTGCAGGTGTGGACAGTCAGCTGGTGCCTCTCTTCGACCCAAACTTTTCTCCAAGAAACTTTGTGCTGGTGGCTCTGAAACCTTGTGGATAGAGTGGACAAAAAGACCCACCAAGTCGCTCTTGGTTTCTTGGGGATATGAAATCATGAACATTAAGGGATTTTTGTTTTCTGGCTTTTATTCATCATCTTAGCTGCAGATGTGTTTTTTCCTCCATGAGTCCATGTCTTCGTAGCGGTGGAACTCTTCAGATCTCAAGCTTCACTGTGATGCAGAAACATGCTGGAAAATTAGGACTGTTTTTCGTTCCAAAACGGGCACTTAGTTCTGTTTCCATGAGCTTGATGAACAGTGAATCTATAAAGTGGCTTTAAGTCCATCTAAACATCATGTTCTTGACTTCATACATGTCACACTGGTTTTCACTCAGAGTCTTCAAGATAGCACAGAAGCAATCGAGTGTTTCGCTCTGTTTTTTTTATTGCATGGTCGTCTCTCTGCATATACAAACATGTTTGGGGGTTTTTGCTTGTTTTTTTAAATTGTATTTTATTACTTTTGTCATTTTATGAAGCACTATGGGACAATCGTGCTTTTTATGTCTGCACCTCAAAGCAATAAAAACAACTTGTGCTTTTAATGTTTGTCACAGACGTGTTGTTATTTTGCATAGGTGTGACATGAAGTGTGTTGCTTTTCAGGTGAGTGTCAAGCAAAGCTACTGTATGCTTGAACAAATGTGTTTTAAGGGTCGTTGTGATATATGACCTTATTCAAACAGGTCAGCACTGAGGAGAATCAAAGATTATTTCTCTTTTCCTCAAATGATTAAAGCTGTAATATTTGTACTTATTTTGTCCACTAGGTGACACAATAGCTCAACAACAAACTCACATGTAATCACTAGTATCTGTTTTACAGCTGGTTATTAGATAGTCGGTTACGGCTGGTTGATCCTCAGTAGGTAAAGTGGAAGAAAACAAGACTGCAGTGAACTGGGGAGCTACAGCTGTTAGAGGAAAAGACATTAGTACTGTAGCACTTCACAGCCTTGATCTCACTATGCAATTAAAAGAGCAAATGAAGTGACCAAATCAACACAAATTAAACCAGCCTGATGTGTGAACAAAGTCAAGTGAGCTTTCTGAGGGCATTGTTGTATCTGTAATGAACAGAGTCACGATAAAACCTGTAATCACCAGATCGCCACATAGAATAGAATAGAATAGAATAGAATAGAATACACTTTATTCATCCCAGACCTGGGAAATTATTGTAAACAGCAGCATCCAAAAATATAGAAAGTACAAGAAAATAACAATAATGAAGTAGTGTTTCCTTAGGGGGGGTCCTCCACACTGGGGGTTGTGTGTGGTCTGGTGCTGGGGGTGCTGTCTGTGGGTCCCCTCGGCCCGGCTGGTTTAGGGGCTCCCCACCTCATTGTGGGGATCCGGGTGTCGGCGCCCCCAGTGGTCATGGTCTGCAACTCCTCCTGGTGTGGATGGCCCCAATGGTAGCGTTTCCTACAATCCTCAGTGCCATGCCATGCTTCCTTTAGTCTAGTGGTGTGTGTGTGTGTGTGTGTGTGTGTGTGTGTGTGTGTGTGTGTGTGTGTGACTGCATGTGCCATATGTGTGTGTGTATGCATGGAGGGTGGGATCGACGAGTTTTCTATTATAATATTCTTAAATGTTGTCATGTTTTTAAATGTTGTAACGTTTTAAATGCTGTAAAGCCCTTTGTGTTGCTACACTGGATGAAAAGTGCTATATAAATTTGATTTGATTTGATTTGATCTGATCTGAACATGCATCCCTGGTGTCCGCACACTCCGGTTGGGCAGTCCACACACTGGCTGAATGTGGGGAGAGTGGTAGAGAGCGATGTGTGGTTAAAGTCTCCTGACATGACCATCAGAGACTGAGGGTGTGATGTTTGCAGCTGGGACACTGAACTACAGATGGGTTCAGCAGCATGCAGCAGCATCAGCCGAGGGGGGGATGTAAACTGTAATCATCCGGACATGCGAGAACTCCCTCCCTCCCCACATCTGCACTGAATAAAAAAAGTAAAAAAATAAAGTATTGTGCAAGAATAGAGTTGAAGTGGTGACTCTTTTTTTTCAACTCCAGGTTTCCAGAAGCGTGACTCAAAGTATGAACATTCAGAAGAAAAAGGGCCCAAGACCCTCAAGCAGGTCAGCTGCTGTGTCCTTTGCATTGCTGTCTTACTACTGGGTCACGCTACACAAGATTATCAACTATTTCTTTTCACAGTAAACAATGGTGGTTGTGCAACTCTGGGAGAAACAAACAACAGAGCTCTTTTTGAAAAACAAATCTTATTAATGTTAAAATGCTTTCCATCCAAAAGAGAAATTATTGTGCCAGTTATATGCAACAACTTCACACCCCCCTCCAGGTTACCCAGAAAGCACATTATCACAACCAGATGTTGTGCGCACCACAAAGCTCTTTACCCCCTTGGATTGAATTTCTCAGAATAGGGCTCCTGCTCTGAGACCAGTTTGGCTCTAATTTTGCATTGAGCTTTCTACCAATCTGTGGCCTCACCAGTGGTCCTAAATCAGCGCCTTGTTTGTAGACACTCCATTCGAGGACTCGTACCCCACCTCCTAAGCAGAGCAGCAGAGACACACTAGTCCCACACCAGCCTATAGGGGAGTTTTTCAGATCACTGAGAGCCATGAAGCATCTCTCGCTGGTGGTTTTGGGTTTGCTGCTGTCTCTTCAGCAGGCACGCAGCGGGAGAGAGGATGCATCGAACTGCAGGCCATTCACAGCCACCTTTTGTCGAGATTTGGGTTACACCACCACCCTCCATCCCAGCGGAGTTCAAGGCTACAACCTGCAGCAAATTGGTCCGATTGTGGAGACGGCCTGCTCACCGGCCATCGCCACAGTCCTGTGTCGTGTCGTGTTGCCTGAGTGCAACTCAGAGAATGACAGCCGGAGGAAACCATGCAAAGCTCTGTGTGAGAAGGTCAAGACGGAGTGTGAGTCTGTCCTCAGAGCAAAGAGGTTGTACTGGCCAACGAAGCTCCGATGTGACAGTTTACCAGAATCCAACTGTTTGCAGGTTAGTGTAAAATAACGAGGATGTTTTTAGATATTGGAAATAAACAGTGACCGTTTTTTAGACTCTTCAAATGATTAGTTTTGTTGAGATGTTAGTGCATGCTAAATATAAAGGAGATGTAAGAAGCTTAACTTAGCGTAAAGACTGAAAACAGGAGGAAATGGCCACCTTGGCTCTGCCCAAAGGTATCCAAACATGACAACCTGCACCTCCACAGCTACTAGTTCTGTTTTTGCTTAAACATAATCAGTGCAAAGAGCAAAACAGATTTTTGTGTCAGTGAGACTGCAGGAAATCAAAGCACACAGCCAAGAAACAGTCGAACAAACTCTAGGATTGCTTTACACTTAAGTTTGTGTACAAATTAAGCACTTTAACTAGAAACTAGAGAGCTTCAGAGGTGCTGGTCGGTGGATTTTATTACCTTTAACTGGTTCAGCCTGCTTCTGAGACAAAAGGAAGCAAACGAGAGCACAACCTAAAAATGTGCATTTATTTAAAAGAGTCAAAAAGGGGAAAAGAAAAAGAAAAGCTTATTGTTTATAGTGTAAGTTGACTCTACAGGAACATTTAAAGTAGACACCTGGGCCACGATGGCTAAACATTAGTAAGACAAATCCTGGTTTCACATGAATTGGCAGAGGAGTAAGATGAAAATCAGACATTACTGACTTAATTTTTCTCTCTTCCAGGATCACAACAAACCTGCTACTGAAGCCCCCCCTGCAACATGTCAGCCAATCACAGCCTCTCTCTGCAGAGACATGATTTACACAGACACCATCATGCCCAATATTCTGGGTCACACTACGCAGGAGGACGCAGCTCTGGCAATGAATACGTTTTCTCCGCTCGTACAGGTGGGGTGCTCTACTCACCTGAAGCCTTTCTTGTGCTCCGTCTACATTCCCAAGTGCCTGTTGGGAAAAGCTCAGCCTCCCTGCAGAACGCTCTGTGAGCAAGCACGAGCCGGCTGTGAGTCACTGTTGATCAAATATGGTTTTCAGTGGCCGGACCAACTCAGATGCGACGCGTTCACCACAGAGACTTGTGAACATGTAAGTCTGCTCCTTTTTGGCTCTAACATGATGTCTATAAGGATCTTTGTGAGTTCTTGAAGTGCAGTTAGGCTGAATGCCAGTGATTCACTTTTCAAGTCTGTAGCACTCCAGGATGTGATCAGAGGTAGGAAATCACCTGCAAAGTCTGAGGAGGTCAAAAACTCCAGAAACATTTGTAGGTGCTGGAATGATTTTATTTTAAACCAGCACATTTTAGGTGTGAAGCAGAGAGAATAAAAAAAAAATCAGTCATGTACAGCGCCCTCCATAATTGTTGGTTAAGATGTGTTAAAAGCCTTAAAATAAATTCAGCTTTTATTGCAGAAGCAAACTCTCACACTGGAAATCGTAGAAAAATGTAACCTTCAACTCAGCTCTAATGAATTGTTGGCAAAAGGGTTGTACAAAGTATTAACATCAAGGGTGCTAATAATTGTGGCACACATGATTTGATGTCAAAGAATAATTTTTTTAATGTGGGATTTTTTTTCACACTGAATAAATGCACTTGAATTGAAGGTTTAATTTTCTTTTTTTTCCCCATTATATTTTATTTAGAAAAATACTGAATTTACTAGAAGCTAAAGAACACATCTTAACCAGGGGTGCCAATAATTATCGAGGGCGCTGTACATCCATCCAACCAGGTGGCTTCTGGCCAGTTGTCGTTACAGCTGTAACTGCGCTAAACAATATTGTCACTGAGTCCTGGAGCACATGTTGGTAGTAAAATGAGAAATATAATTTTTTAGGTGGCATTGTGTTACGTATTAAGTGCATATAAAAAAGCAAGTTACAAGCAAGTAGTCTCACCAGAATAGTCTCACGTCAATGCACTCCTACGCTCCATTAAGTCCACTCTCTAAATATCTAATAACCTTCGAATCTATGTCCAGCAATATCTCTAATTTTACAACATTTGGACAGTCTCACCTGCCTTGTGCTTCCACTGCACAGGTGAGCAAAAACAAAAAAAAACAACAACAGTTCAAACTTTAAAACCAAATGCAACACTGTGAATGCCTTCCAGGAGAGAGTGTATGAAAAAGTATGCATTTACCACCATATTTAAACAGTTTCACATTCCTCTATGTGAGAGTCAGCTTGTCAATCTGCCGACCAGTGTGGGCATGAAATAGTAACATCAGTCATATGAGCTCCCTCTTTCTGAGCCATCCCCCAACTCTTTGCGAGGACAAATCCTTAACAGACAAATCATCACCAATTAAATTAACTTTTCTAGAAAGTCACATCCCCTGCCTTCGCCCTAAGTCGGCTGGGTTAGGCTCCAGCCCCCCATGACCCTAGTGAGGATTAAGCGGTGTATAGATAATGGATGGATGGATGGATGGATGGATGGATGGATGGAAAGTCACTTTGCCAGTTATAGGAGCATGCACATTTGTTGTTGTATGATAAAATTGATTTCCATTTCTCTTCATCCAGGCTGCATTCGGCAGTTTTACGGAAACACCTTCAACATGTCAGCCCATCACCGTTCGTCTCTGCACAGATCTGCCTTACACAGAAACTGCGCTGCCGGGCGTTCTCGGCCACAGAACCCAGGACGACGCGGGCCTGGAAGTGCATCAGTTTTATCCACTAGTAAAAGTACAATGCTCCCCTCATCTGAAGCCCTTCTTGTGCTCTGTCTACGTCCCCAAGTGTGAGGGCGGAAAACCTCGACCTCCCTGCAGAACGCTCTGTGAGCAAGCTCGGTCCGGCTGTGAAACACTGATGAACAGGTTTGGCTTTCAATGGCCAGAATCCCTCAAATGCGATAAATTTACTACGGAGTCCTGTGAACAAGTAAGTCTGGATGAATGTTTATGTGTTGAAGGTCACTTGATGAGGATTTTTTTGTTGTTATAGGTTTGTTCAACGACGGGTTCAGATTGCAGATTCAACACAAAAATAGCCTCAAACAGAAGACAGCTACCACTATGGATGCCATTGTTTGTTTGCTTCCAGTTGTTTATCTCTAGCAGCTCCTTCCTGATGACCTCACACAGGTCACCAGGATCCTGAAGCCTTCACACATGTCAAGAACAATGGCAGGCCATAGTTGGCTGAGAGAAAACATGAGAAGAAAGACTTTACAGTTTGTATAATTGGCTTGCAAGACTAGAATATTGCGCAATCTGGACCCTGCATGACTGTTCTGATGGAAGAGCCAGCAAATGTGGCCTGTATTACTTTTTGTTCTCTCTCTGTCTTTTGTTAGCTTGCTAACATCACAGAAATTGTCCACATTGAGTGGCTTTACTAACTCCCAAATAGCTCTCCTTTTTTTGCAGAAACATTACAGTCAATACAAACAAAAATTATGAATATTATCTTGTAGCTACATGACCTTTATCTCAGCACATAATGCTAATATGGAGCAGCAGTAGGTGGCAACCATCCAGTTTTCTTAAGTATCAAAGTAATTGGATGATGAACAGACTCTGTGGCGCAACGGTAGCGCGTCTGACTCCAGATCAGAAGGTTGCGTGTTCAAATCACGTCAGGGTCAAGCTTTCACTTATTCACACTTGAACTGCAACGTGAAGGTTCCTTGTCGAGTTTTGAAATTTAATAGCCCAATGGAGCCGGCTGTGGCTCAGGTGGTTCGATCTCCAGCCCCTCCACAGTCCAACTGTCCTTGGGCAAGACGCTAAAACCAAAAGCTGCTCCCAATGGCGGGCAGCACCTTGCATGGCAGCTCTGTGGCCATTGCTGTATGAATGTGATCTACTCTCAAAAATGTACGTCGCTTTGGATAACAGGGTCTGCTAAGAGAAATCTTAATTGTAATAGGTGCACCACAAACAGGAACTGCTAATTCACATGTTTCATACTTTTGTTGGCTGCCAAATTGACAAAATAAGAATAAATGTAGGCTAAAAATCAGTCTCCCAAAAATTGCATTCCTATACAACCAAACCACATTGTCAGCTACTATTTGCGAGAAACATACTTTCTGCCAGACTACATTTGTCTGTGACGAATTCCAAATACATTTCTAATCAACATTTCTTTGTGTTCCTTTTCAGATAGGGCAGGTTAGTCACCCTGGTAATGCAGGAACGAGAGATGAAGCTTTAAACATGCTATGAAAGGGATGCAATTTGACCGAAACCATTATATTTTGCTAAGAATAGCATCGTGTAGTTTTGTTTCCTTAACTCAACCAGGCTCCCAATAGGTAGTAATCTTTGTAAAAGTATCAGTGAAAGCATGACATTGTCCTTTTACCTTCTTAAATAGGTTTTGTACCTAAATCTAACCATAAAGTAGGTGATTGAGCTCTACAGTCTCCTTGGTGGAAGTCTGACATGACTTCATCCTCCACTACAATCTCCTTGTGTGGATGTTGTGGTTCTTTTAAAACTGGAAGCCTAAAATTTGTTTGCTACAGAAAGAAATTAGATTACAATAAAAATGTACATGTGAATGCAGTTTTACAGGAGCGAGAAGGACAGAAAATCTGGCACATGCTAACTCTCGAAGTATGCAAAGTAGTCTTTTCCACAATCATAGACTCCCCCCTTAAGTTTTGTTTCTGTGGCCCAACCTTTATGTGAAGACCAAATTTTTACCAAAGGTGTCTCCCCAGTTAAAAACAAAACCCGCGAAAGCTCAACTGGCTGAGCTGGCGTCCCACGTTCAGGGGCTATAGTCCCTGACGCAGAGGTCATGGGTTCGAGTCTCGCTCATGGTTCTTTCCTGCATTCTTCTCCCCACTTTCCTGTCTCTCTCTTGACTTTCTTATCAAATAAAGGCAGAAAAGCCAAAAAAAAAAATAACTTCACCGAAGCTTGACTGACCGTAATCAGACGTATAATGACATTGTGCACTTGTGTGTCCAGTACGGAGTGAGCAGCAGTGGAGGAATCTGCGAGCCCATCACCATCCCGATGTGCCAGGGCCTGTCCTACAACCAGACCATCGTTCCCAATCTTCTGGGACACACAAGTCAAAGAGAGGCGGTCACCAAGATGTCCTTTTTCAACTCCATTGCGCAAAGCGTGTGCTCGGTGGACATACGCCTCTTCCTGTGCAGGGTTTACGCCCCCGAGTGCGTGGCTGGCCAAGTGCAGCGGCCCTGCAGGTCTTTCTGCGAGAATGCCAAACGGGCCTGCGAGGGTTTGATGAACAGTTTTGGCGTTTCCTGGCCAAATGAGCTGCAGTGTCGCTCATTCTCAGAGGAGTCGTGTGTGTCCGTAAGTAATGGATTGATTGGTGATGACAAGGAATAAGAACAGTTTGATTTAATGTCAGAAGTGAATCAGAATATTTTCTAAAAGCTGCGTCTTCAGATTGTTTACTGGTTGATTTTACATGACATCTTCCTTTTCTTTTTCTTCCACAGGAACGGCAAAACCCTGAGGTATTACAACTAAGTGTTTTCAGGAATTTAAGGCAAAATCTATACCAGCAATTACCTACTGCCACTTTGTAGCACACATTGCACTTTCCTCAAGCTAATTTCTCCTGCTTAAGATCCTCACCAGTAGTTTTTTAAAGACACTGATACCATCGATTGCAGTCATCAGAGACAAAAAGCCACTTCATAATTCCAAACAGGAGACAAAACTTTAAAATTAAGCTCGAATAATAACAAATAACCTGAAGCTGTTCTGAGGAGTATTTGATACCTACTGGAATTAGTGATGAATATTTTATTAGGGAGTCCCTGTTTTGCAATTGACACAATGCCTCCTCCTGCTGCCGATGCTGTTTATCTGATGGATAGCTGCAGTTAATGCAACAACAACAGCAGCAGTGTGCCAGCTAAATGTAATCACTGCTCAAACTGGCCACACCTTTAGTAAGGCATGAGTTTAAAAATGGGTAAGTTGTCATAAATGGGCAAGTTAGCTATGGAGACTAAAACCATTATTTGTACCAGGCTGTAAACATGTTTATTTTATTATAACATGTGGGTCTATAGCTACTAGCTTGCCTTTGG